ACTTTTGGAACGATGCTATAGCTTTTCCTTTTTAAGGGGTAAATACAAGTACGTCAGAGGATACATTGAAGGGGAGGGGCTGGATATTTCAGTAATTGATGAAATAATGGGAACATGTACTGGAGAGGGTAACATTAACAACACACGTGTTTGAGTTAACTTTGTAAAGGAGGCAGGTCACTTTCTGCCTAAAATCGGAGGAAAGGGGAGAATGAATGAAGGCAGGGAATTGGGAGCTGGAGCGGGCAGGCGGCGGTTGTTTATTAAAAGAGTTCTCTCAGACAGCCTTGTTCTTTTCACATGACTTGGAGATGAAGGCCGTGTTTAATGTTGAAGGCATGAGGCAGGGTCAGGGCCCTGGGTGAGTGGGAAAGCTTTAGAAAAGCTACCATGAAAAGTCACAGGGAACTAGGTGTGACTAGAGGGTCGGTTGGTGGAACTGAGGACCACTTCCTATCCGAGTGCCTAAAAAGCTGCTCCATCATAGTCACTGAAGTTGGGCTGATAGATCTTTCCATTAGGAGAAAAAAAAAAAAAAAGTATATACTAAACCCAGCTTCGCCTGCCCTCGTAAGAGCCTTCAGTGTGATTATACAAACAGCAGATGCAGAAGATTTTACCCACACACCCACACACAAAAACCCCACAAATACCTAGTTATAGGAAGCAGAACAAAACACTGCGGGAGGACGAAATGATCATGACAGATGGTAAACAAGGACCCCATTTCAGCGTCTGGGAAGCTTCATCTTTGGCTTTGTGGTGTCTTTCATGGCTATGTAAAGGAACTGGAATTTAACCGCCCATTAAGAGTACAGACCAGGCCTTAGATGCATCTTAATCTTCTGAGGTTTGTTCCTTTTCCACACAATGTTCCAGATGCATTCTCTAATGACACTCTATCAAGCCACTAAGATCGACTGCCAAAGTCCAATCTGCTACAGGAATCTTGCGAGAAGAAAGGGATGTTTCATCGGAGGCAGGCATTCGTCCTAGCCCACAGCTCGCCTGCTTCTGATCTTCCACTGTTAAAAGCGTAGCGCGCCGGAGCAAGATTGTGCTATATTTCATGAGTGTTCTGGGCCGCCACCGAGGGACAGTTCCATCTGTTATTTGCTCTCAGCTTTGCTTACTGATAAAACAGGAAGGACAGCTTGCTGATGGGCTCCGGGAAGCAAACGGCTCCTCTCTTTCCTGCAATTAATGTTCATAAATTATTTCTACAGTAGACAGTATGGATGGGACCATGATTTCAAAATTAGTTTCAATAAATTAAGGGCCTGCATTCATTACCAAAGGAGATCGATTTGCAAGGCAACTTGTGGAGTTTAGCATCGCCAGCTACCTTTTGTGACAACTGCTGTCCTTAACTCTGTGGCTTATCAGATCTTAAGATCATATGTTCAGTTGCTGAAATTTCATTGTATGGATACTACACGAAAGAGTTTTAGTTGTTCACAGCAAACAGGATTCGGGGTACTTATAAATTTCTGAGACTTAAGTTAGTAGCCCTTTGGCCATCGGAAAGGGAAATGGATGATGACGGCAAAATGCAAAAATCACTAAGTGATTTCTTTTCCCCAAAAAATTATTCTCTTGTTCCAATCATGCAGCATGCATTGGATAAAGAAATCAGGGTATTTTCTGGCCTCTGCACTATTTTAAAAGGGATTTCCAAGAATCTAGAATATGAATCGCTTTTTCTAAATTTCTTTTATTTCAACTTGTCATGTTTTCTTTATTTCATTGGTTCAATATCTATCACCAAATTTATCTATGCTTCCTTTATAAATGAAATATTTCCCATGATCTATAATAGTATGTCTTCTAGGAAATAGTGGCTTCTAGGAAATAGGACATTTATAGCAGGCTTGACACTTTCAAAGTTTTAGACTAGGAATTTTAACTTTCCCAGCAACACCTATCAGTTCAAAGTACAAACAACAACAACAACGAAATGGAATCATGATTTCTTAAGACGACAGGTTGGGGAGAGAAGCCTTGAAGCAATGCGAGTGTCATTAAAAGGCCCAGGGGGCTGCCTTCTCTCCATCCTGTGTGAGACCAGTGGAGAAGCAGGTCTCCTGCAAGGAGCGGGGATCAAGGTGAAGTAAGAATACAAGATTGCTGGTTAAATGAAATAACACAGTGCAGGATAATAATAGAAATAGGAAAGAAAGAATTACTGAAACATGAAGAAAGAAAAAGGTATGAAGCACCCCCATACAATTAACAGGATATATTTAGGAGAAGCAATTTTATAAAAATACAGACCAGTGGCATGGCACACTCTGTAATCATTTCATTTCATGTTATTGTTTATTTTTTTAGTTTTGTCATATCCTATCTAATGGCTCAAATTCTGCTGCTTCCCTAATATATAAAAGTAAATATTGTCTACTCAGAATACTTGATGTCTCCTTATTTTATTGACAAATCTATACATTAGAGAATTAAAAAGAAATAAAACTCACTAAATATTAAATAAAATAGAGATTCATGGTCCTTCAATGTTTGCATCCTAATGCACTAAATACACTATGTGAGTGACCATGAACCAACTCACTAATTATCTCCTATTTTACTATTAATTTGGTTACATGAGGCTATCCAGTGATGGCGAACCTATGACACGTGTGACACGTGAACTCATTTTTTTGTTTGATTTTTCTTTGTTAAATGGCATTTAAATATATAAAATAAATGTCAAAAATATAAGTCTTTGTTTTACTATGGTTGCAAATATCAAAAAATTTCTATATGTGACACGGGACCCGAGTTAAGTTAGGGTTTTTCAAAATGCTGACACGCCGAGCTCAAAAGGTCCGCCATCCCTGGGCTATACCGTACCATTGGATAACCATTTAGGAAGAAAAGTTGCCTACCTAGCTGAAATGTCACAAACTAATTAATCTATTTTGGCCAATTTGCCACTTTAAGACAGCTCAATACTAGAGCAAAATCTGCAGCCAATTTGGAACCGATACTCCTGGCAAAGTCATTTACAATCCAAAGAACAGTCACATTTCTCCATTAGGAAGGCAAGAGTCTGAAGATCAAAACTTTTTAAATTAGAATCTCCATCCTAAACAAACCCTCTCATTTCTTATCATTATGAGTACAATTACTCTTTCTTTACAAAATTATTTTTTTGTTAATCCTCACCCAAGGGTATTTTTTCCCACTGATTTTGTTTGTTTGTTTGTTTTAGAGAGAGTGGAAGGGCAGGAAAGAGGAAAGCACCCATGTGAGACACATCAATTGGTTGCCTCCCATATGAGCCCCAACTAGATGAATCGAACCTGCAACCTAGGTATGTGCCCTTTACTGGGTATCGAACCTGTGACCCTTCAGTGTGTGGGCTGATGCTCTAACTACTGAACAACACCTACTAGGGCATTCCTTAAAAATTCACTTAAAATATTGGCTGGTGATGCCTGGCCAGTGTGGTTCAGTGGTTGAGAGTTGACCTATGAACCTGGAGGTCACAGTTCCATTCCCAGACAGGGAATATGCCCATGTTGCAGGCTCAACCCCCAACGCGGGCGGGGGGGTGGGGGTGAGAGGTGGGCAGGAGGCAGCCAGTCAATGATTCTCTCTCCTCAGTGATGTTTCTGTCTCTATCTCCCTCTCCCTTTCTCTCTGAAATCAATAAAAATATATTTTAAAAAATATTGGCTAATGGAGTACAGTGGCATAGCATTTTTTAAGGAAAAAATATAACAAATACTAACAATATGCAGTAAAATGTAGACCATGATTCCTGTCTTACAAACATTTACAACATAAAATGATAATACTTAGTCTAATAATCCCCCTCCAAAGGTATAGGTATTATTGTTATCATTGTATTACTGCCATTATTGTCTTTATTAAAACCTCTTGCCTTGGAAGGGATGATGGTGAATGTGAGTAAAAAAGTCTGTAGGTTAAATGCATATATTATGTGTCTTTTGTGCACTCGATTAACATAAAAATAGTTAACATTCCTAGAGAGTTTACTGTGATCCAAACACTATGCTTAGAGGTTGTATAATCCTCATTCAGGCTTGTAAAGGACGCATTGCCAATCCTGTTTCAAAAATAAGCAGATTGAGTTCAGAGAGGTGAATGACGTGCTCTTGGCTGCATCTCTAAGGAGAGGTATACACAAAATTTAAACCCAGGCTTAACTAACTCTAACGTTTGCATTCTTACTATTTCTGAGAGTTTACGTTTGATGTATTCTAGCCATTGAAGTTTTAGTAGGAAAAAAATCTCTGTCTCTAGGAGCTGAAATATATGAACTGTTACATATGACAATATCTGTCAGCTAAAGGAAGATAATTTAAACCTGAGACTAAAGTCCATGTCCTAGTTCTCCTTTCAAAAATGATTAAATATGTTCTTTCCCTGCTGGACTATCACCAGAGTGGCATATGATATGCCTGGAATCTACCATATAGTCCCAAATGGCCCGAGGGCAAAAGCTACTTTCATGCCATTCATTTCTAAGCAAAAGCTGAAAGGCCAAAAATCACAGGTGAAATTCGCTCTGGCGAGATTTTCCAGTTCAATTTCATTCTCCCTTGAGGTTCAAACAAACTTCAGATAATCATCTTGAACTTGGTGATGAACCAAACTCAGATTCAGGCTATAGCTTCTAAGAGGGCCAGCCCTTTCATTTAGAATAAGGCAGAGCTTAAAGTGACAAGCCAAATGGGGTCAGATGTTCAATACTTGGCAAAACCCCAGCTGTCACACTGAAACAATGCTGACAACATGGCAGGCTTTAAAACACATTCCCCGGGGAGGCTATTGATGTTATTCTCACTTTCCCTTGTGTCGCCTGTCCAGCCTTGCTGCTTTCTGGAGCATGTGCCAATCACGGACAGCACATACTAGGAACGGCAAGGACTGCACAACATGCTACGCTTATTCCAGCATCAGGAGCTGGTCCGTGTATATAGGGGGTCTTCCTGGGCTCCCCGACGCAAGATGAAGCATGCTGCTCACACACCTTCCCAAGCAATCAGAAGGCAGCCAAAGCCACCGCAGACCTCACTCTCCAGAGCTTAACCTTTCCAGTCAATGTCATTGAATAAAGTGGGAGCCGAACACCATGGACACTTCCTCTAGACCAGTGGTTCTCAACCTCTGGGTTGCAACCCCTTTGGCGGTCAAACGACCCTTTCACAGGGGTTGCCTAAAACCATCCTGCATATCAGATATTTACATTATGATTCATAACAGTAGCAACATTATAGTTATGAAGTAGGAACAAAAATAATTTCATGGTTGGGTCACAACATAAGGAACTGTATTTAAAGGGCCAGAAGGTTGAGAACCACTGCTCTAGACAATCCATTTCAGCCACTGCTCTGAGAACATAGATTAAGTTCAGTTAGGCAGCGTCCATCCAACTTTCTGATAAACAAGAAGCTAGCTTCCCAACATTGAGTTAAACACCATGTAAGTGTTAGAAATATGGATCCATTAACTGTGTAGTGCCAGGTCTCTGTAGTAAACTAACTTGGACTGCTTCAAGTATATCCTAAAGGTTTAGCCCAAATCATGCTAACAGTGAAGCTTTGAGTTTCATGAGCTTTCAGGTATATGTACCATAATCAAGTATAGATAGAAAGCTAGCCACACTGTGAGGAAAAGTAACTTTTTGATGCATTTTTCTTCTCTTCAGAACTAATTGATTATTCTGAAGACATAAAAAAAAATTAGAGAATAATATAAGAGAGAAATATAATGCCAATAAATAGAGTTGATTTAAGGTGAGATTGCTTTGAGTGGCTCACATTTTTTTGCCTTTAGGGTCTAACTAACAAATAATTGCCAACCCATGTATGTTTCAGTTATAAGATTCTGAAGTTGGTACATACATAACTCAGTAAGGTTATTGGGGTGGCCTAAACCACCAGGATACCAGGTAGATGGCATTATTATAAATGAAAAGTTTAAAAACTATTAAAATGATCAAGGGAAATATTGACAAAAGATATCTTGGAATAACCCATCCATAGGCTATTTATCTCGTTAGTCCTCTCAGAATGTTAAAACCATGGACAATTAAAAGGTTAGATCTTGGCCCTGGGTGGGTGGTTCAGTTGGTTGGAGCATCATCCTGTGCACTGAAAGGGTGCGGGTTCGATTCTCTGTCAGGGCATATACCTAGGTTGCAGGTTTGATCTCTAGTTGAGGTG